AACAATTCGATGCTCATGGACACAGGATGGGGAAGCACAACACTGCTCGCTCTCTAATCCCGACCTCTATGGTCGTGCACTCGGATGTGCTTACGCCATTTGCCGCCTTTTGGTCCTCAGAGCTAACTGTCATGCTCCTCCGACGGACGCTGCTGTGGGCTGGCGCATCTACAGTAGCCCTGGTTAATAGAGTACACGCGCTGACAAAGGGCCATGACTTGTCTTCGGCCCCGCGCATGGAGACAGAACAGGGCGCGATCTGGTACAACACCGCAGGCAAGGAAATGGCGATCGAAGACATTCTCGGCGAAGGAGGAATGGACAGCGTCCGGTTACGGTGCGTTCTTGATTCGGTACGCCTTCCGTGAGCTAGAGATTTATCTTTTTTTTTTTTTTAATGCTGTATAGCCTTTGGACCGGAGAAGAGTACGGCTTGAACTACACTCTGTCACTCGCGCAACGGTATTCCAAAAAGGGCTACAAGATTTTCCTCGACTTGCATTTCTCGGACACGTGGGCACAGCCAAGCGACCAGCACACTCCTTCAGCTTGGGATAATTCATCGGTGGAAACACTAGCAACGGCATGCCGCGATCACGTCAGTTCGACTCTGAAGGCGTTCACGGATGGTGGAGTTGAGCTCGACATTTTATCGATCGGTAACGAAATCACGGACGGATTCCTGTATCCGACGGGCAAGATCAGTAACGACGACTTTGGTCCTTTCGCTAAGCTCTGGAAAGCAGCACGCCAGGGCGTGGCGGATGCAGTATCGGCAGGAACGAAACAACCGAAAGTCATGATTCACTTGGACAACGGATGGAAATCCGAGACTGTGTCGTGGTTTTTCAAAGGTCTATTCGCGGAAGGAACAGTGACTACAGACGATGTGGATGCGTTTGGATTTTCGTTTTACCCGTACTATAACGTGAACGCAACACTCGACGCACTGGCCTCGTCACTGACTCAAATGGCAAACACGTACAATAAACCGATCTACGTAGCGGAGACCGACTGGCCCACAAATTGCACCACAGTCACACTTAGCGAGGAATATCCGGTTAGTGCACGTGGCCAACGCGAGTGTGTGATGGCTGTTATGGACGTGCTGGAAGGCCTGCCGAACGGACTAGGTGCTGGTATTTTCTACTGGGAACCAGGATATATCTCGGTGCCTGGACTTGGGAGTGCCTGTGGATCGAATCTGCTATTCAGTGTAAACTGGGATAATTGGCCCGACACGTACGCCAAGGCTCTCTCATCGATCTACATGTTTGCCGGTGGAGGGAATACGTCTACTCCTATTGCTGCTTCAACCACCACCACTGCTTCGCTGCAAACACAAATTAACTTCTCGCAGCTGGACCAAAGTAGCAGGTCTAAACAGTCAGATGAGAGCTCGACGCAACAAACCGACGGTGGCTCTGTGCAACAACAGTGACGATTTCCCATGAAAAGAGAGTAAATGTTGTGAGTATACAGTCCTGCTGTCAGCAGCTCCATCCGAAACCTTCCGAGGATGCGTCTAACAAATTCCCTTCTGCTTCATGGCTTTGGAACCGGGTTTACTACAAAAATGTCGATTCTAGTCGTTCAGGAGATTAGCTATTTTCACCAGGCCCCCAAGCCGACACAACATGTGCCGCGTCGGCATCTACGCGAATGTCTCGTCCGCAATCGCTGATAACTGCATGTTTTGGAGTTGTTCCATGAATTCGTACCGATATGTGTGACACGAGTTTGCCTAGCACGTTTTAGAGTATTCGTCCAATTGGGTCACCAAGATGTGACATTCGGTGCATTGGTTTTGTCTTGACATGCTTATTAACCAACTTTTCGAAGGTTTCCAGTTTCCTTTTACCGTACCCGACAGGTTGTGAAGACAACGACAGTTTGAAATCGATCCATAAATTTGGCTCGTTGAAGTCTTGAATGAATAGATGCAACGTCGAGCCCTGCTTCCTACTTTTCGTACGCATTCACGGTTGCTCCCTGGGTTGTACGATATTGCAGACTAAGGTAATTGTTACCTTTTACATGCCCATTTTACATAAAGTCCGATTCTAAAAAATGATGATACCGATGAACGTCCAAATACAAGTACATACTGTATACTCGTCCATAGTCGATTGTACTCAGTTAGGTAATTCGAAGTAACCACTAAAGCCAAAGCGAAGGAATCTGTTTTAACAAAATAACCGAAGCTTAAACTTTAGAGCTCATCGGCGGTCGCGTAAATTATCATCACCTATAAGCTTTAAAAATTATGATTGTTCTGACATTTTACAAATACCTTCAATCAACTTTACATGCATAGGTGACCATCATGACCCTGTAAGTAGTTTATTTGGTGGGCATTTTTTTTGAGGCGTTTACCCCAAAAACGACGAAAACTTAAAAGAACAGAAGATCCCTGACAGGGTTAGTCGCTTTTAGTCATTCTTCCAGCGCCTTGCCACAAGTGAGAGCTCAAAGTGTACTATAAACACGTTAATGGATATTTACTAGAAACACCAGGGACTTTTATTTCATATTTTGCTTGAATTGTAAGAAATTAGACTGACACGTAATGGCTTCGGCAATGACAACTTGTGTTGGGCCACTAATCTTGAATCTGCGTTCCGCGGTCCCGACCTCGAAAGATACAATACCAATGGCCGATTTTTAAGAATGGGAGAACGGACCG